GCCACACAAACACCCACCAATCGGCAGCAGTCTCGCAATGACTAGCTCGTCATGACCGCCACTTCCACCATCCTCACCCACCAAAACATAAGAACATCACAAACTTCAGCTCGCCACCATCAAAACTCCCACCATCCACAACCCCCATCCACAACAAACAACAAACAACCACCCTGCACCCATCAAAATCTGTCAACACCACCCTTACTCACCACAGACCACCCTTAAATTTTTAAACCCCAAACTTACCTTTCAAATTTCAATTATGGTTTTATTTAGTTAAATTTAGCAATAAAAACTCTAGATCTAGAGTTTTGGTGGTTAAATTTAACCATCAAAACCTCACACTTGAGAGCTTTAATGGCGGTGAAGAATTGAAACACAAAAAAAAAAAAAAAAAAAAAAAAAATAAATAAATAAAATAAAATAAAATAAAAATAAAAATGGAGACAAAGCAACGATAAAGAGAAGGGGTGCGTGAGGTAAAAGGTGGTGGTTGTACTTTGGAAGGAGGAGGATGAGGGAGAATAGAGTGAGGGAGGGCAGTTTTGATAACGGTGGTGGTGGGGGAGGAGAGAGAAACACGCGGTGGGTAAGTGGCAGATTCATGGTGGTTGTTGTGGGTTTGTGGTAGGGGTGACGGAAATGGAAGTGGATGGGGATTTGGGGCTAGATTCATGGTGGTTGTTGTGTATTGTTGGTAGACCTGGCAATCCTGACCTAGACCCGATGACCTGACCCGACCCATGACCCGAAATCGACCCGAAACTAGTGACCCGAAATTGACCCAAAACCCGAATTAACCCGACCCATACCCGACCCGAAGTGGAACTAACCCGACCTTGACCCAAAACCCGAAATGACCCAGCCCGACCCGAGATGACCCGACCCAAAGTTGACCCGAGACCCGAAACGACCTGATCCAAAGTTGACCCGAGATCCGAAGTTGACCTGACCTTTAACTTCTTTTAGTAAATAATTATATAAGTTATAAAAAGTTTATATTAGGAAATTATACATTAAAATAGACCCAACAACATCATACATGACTACATTGACTTTCATATAATAGCTAAAAAAGATGGTCAAAGTGAGATGTGTGAATAGTGCAAAATGTCAAATCGTTAAGAGTAATTTGGGACGGAGGGGGTATAAGAATAATTCAAAGAAATTATTATAACAATGACAATGATAATAAGAGTACGTATTAAAACTAAGATCAATAAGAGAGTGAGGTATAACTCAATTAGTTAGAGCATCCCTCTTAGTTTCAGGAGATCCTGAAAGTGATTCTCAGTCTAAAATTCTAAGCACAAAAAAAAAAGGTTAATAAAAGTCAAACAATTACTGTAATCATGAAAAAATAGCCTTAATAAATATAGTGACTTTTTCGTCAATAAATAAATAAATAAATATATATACAGAGTTGAATTTAACCCAATGAATCACCTGAATATGACTCGACTAGAAGTTGACCCGACCCGAAGTTGACCCGAAAATTGGACCCGAAAATTGACCTGACCCGACCCGAAAATTGACCCGACCCAAACTTGACCTGACCCGAACTCGACCCGAAGTGTTGACCCGATACCCGACCCGATCATCGACTGAGCCAAAATCAACCCGAAATGACCCGACCCGACCCAAACTTGCCCGATAATCTTTTGACCCGAACTTGAACCGACCTGAAATGACCCGACCCATACCAGACCTGAATGACCCATTTAGTGGCAGGGGAGGTAAGGTGGTAGTGAAGGAGGAAGGAGGAAGGAGGTGGTCATGGAGATTGGAGAAACAGAGAGGAGAGAGAAAGAAGTGGGTTGATTTTTTTTTTTTTAAGAAAAATTGTAAATTAAAAATAAACCAATAAGAAAATGACACGTAGGCAAGGTAACCGGTTATACCGACTTGGTGACCTGTTGGGTTCGATATGGAAAGATGGGGGTAAAAGGTTGGATTAATTTGAAATAATCCAAAGGTTGGGTTATTTTGGGAGAATGGAGTAAAGGTTGGTTTATTAAAAGTAATTTTTCCTTTTTCTTTCTCCCTCTTCTTATTGACAATCAAAGAAGTTCAATGGTTAGAGACAATAAAAGCCCTGACCTGCCCCACTTATATAAATGGGCCAGATTTAGACTTAGTTATTGGACAAAGTAGCCCAATAATAAAAGGGTTCATAGCCTTCACATATTTGACTTTTTAGATTAGAATAATTCATGCGAGTCATGCTCATAAGATCATTCATTTGTTTTAGGCCATGTTCTCTTCACCTTACAAAAATAAAACTAAGTAAAAATAATTTCAATTCAGTAAAAATAAGTTTAGTTCTGTAAAAATAAATTTAGTTTGCCTAATAATAAAAAATTAGTTCAGTTAGAATAATGTCAGTTCAGTAAAATTCAGTTTTCTTAAAGAATAATTATAATAGAAAATCAGTAAAAATAATTTCAGTTCAGCAAAAATAATTTCAGTTCAGTAAAATTAATTTAAGTTCAGCAAATATAATTTTATTTCAGTAAAAATAATTTCAGTTCAGCAAAAATAAGGTGAAGAGAACGGGGCCTTACTTAGGGATGTCAATGGGTCAAGGACCTAACCTAGGTTCGATTAGACCCATCCCATATTTTAGGGTTTGGGTCCTAAATGGATCTGGATCTAAGTGCAATGAGTCTGGGTTGCAAAGTCCAGACCCATACCCGACCCAGATGCGACCCATGGATATTTTTTTATGAAAAAATTACATAAGTCATAAGTTTTCTAATCTAAAGAATCAAATGAAAGAAAAACCTAAAGAACCTAACTTTAAACTACACGTGCCACTCCTCTAAGGGCTCCAAGTCAAATGGCTCCTACTCTCGTCAAGTAGATTGTCGTATGTTTAGTAGAACGTTTTTATAGCATTTATTACAAAAATACTAAAAAAAGTACTTCGTATATTAGTAATAAGAAAAGCTACGTAGAGCTCAAATAAGCACAAATATGACCATGAAACGGGGAATAAATATATATATATATAATAGACTCATCAATTATCCCACCAAAATCTAGCCGTCATAACTCTAATCTCACAATGACTCCCCGAGGAATTTTATAAACTCCTATTATATAAGTTGGGATGGCTTGGATAGATGACAAATTTTTATAGAGTTTCCTTACCCGCTTTAGACAAAAGCTTGTCCTTCCAGCCCTGGAGCTTTTTCCAAATTCTCTCTTTCAAGGCTGCAAATACCGTTTTTTTTTTACCTTCCAATATGGTTAGGATGCCAAGATATTTACCATGAGAGTCAACCTGCTTCATCTTCAAAAAATCCACTAACTCCCTTTGCATACATGAACTCACGCCTTTGCTAAAAGAGACCTCTGATTTTTCATAATTAATTTTTTGACCGGAAGCTGCTTCATTATTGTTGAGTATATCAACTATCTTTGAGCATTCCCTTCGGTTGGCTCTAGCAAAAATCAATCTGTCATCAGCAAAAGGGAGATGAGAAATTTCGGAACCATTTGAGCTAGCTTTAGCCCAGTGAATTTCTCGATTAGTCACAACCTTTGTCAAAAGGCAAGAAAAAGCATCAACAATCGTGATAAACAAGTACGGAGAGAGAGGGTTTCCTTGTCTCAGACCTCGTCTTGGAGTAACATCCCCACATACAAAACCATTAATGATGAAAGAATATGAGACCGTTGAAACACAACTCATCACCACTTGAACCCAACAAACACTGGAGAAGTTTTTATGGGAAAAAGCCACTTTACTTTTATCGTACGATTTGCTCACCATCTAGCTTGAGAACAATGGTACCTTACGCCCCATACTCCTCTTTATCATAGAGTGGAAGAGTTTTATAGCAATAAGAGCATTATTGTTCCTGGGAGACTTATTAAATCCACTAATATTATCATTTTAAAAAAGGTTGTTAAAATACCACCCTCGATCTCTAGTTAACGCTTGCAAAATAAAATATGTTTTACAAATTTACCCCTCATATAAACAAAAAAGTATTTACTATCATAAACATCTTTTTAACCCACACTCACTTCCTCTTTTCTCTCTTAAAAACTTGTCTCTCTCTAAATTACCACAAACACCACCACCACCACCACCACCTCCATTTACCACCACAACAACTCCTTCTACTAGATCTACATAATTTTGCACGATAATGCCTAAGGACAAAGGTAAGGCAATGAACCCCTCTCTTTGAGTGTATCTGCCACTTTGCCAAGAAGTAGTAATGTTAGCAATCAAGGCATTTGTCATGTGGTAAAGCAACAGCAGCAGCATTAGATGCACTGGCAGTTGCAGAAAATTGTATTGGAACCTTTTTTTTTGGGTTATCATCTATCAATCAACAACCATCCTCCATTTTCTTGTGTGTTTCATTTATCTTTAGTCTTGTAGAATGCTGTTAATTAATGATGTGTTCTGCTCTATAGATTAATGTTGTCCGTTAGTTTCATGAATGGTTTAAAAAAATATATACTTCGTGTTTGTGCATATATAGATCAAATTAAAATGGTTTTAAACATTCATAACCTTGCATAAAATAACAATTATAAGATGACAAGCAACTTATTGATGAGAAGAGTTCAGAAATCGAGAAGTTAAAGCTTGAACTAGAGAAGAAAGTTTTGGCAATCAGTAACTATGAAAATGAGACTAGTAGGCTATGCTGGCTATCTGAACAGGTCAGGACATTACAAAGCTGGAGGAAGATCTTGTTGCTCTAAATGATCAACGAAATATACAAGAAAGGGATCTCTCAATGATGAGCAACAAGTTGTTAAATTCTCTGACAGAGTCAATTCATTAGGAGAATAAGGGAAGAATATATTTGATATATATTATGTGATAAGTTAGAATATTTCCTATCCTACTTGCGGTAGGGTTAGGACTCCTATGTATAAATATTGCTCTCTGCCTCTTTATGAACACAAGCTTCTACTGCCTATCAAGCTTTACATGGTATCGGAGCAGTTTTTTTAACCTAAATTAAACTATGGTTGGCGACGACATCCCGCCACCACCACCACCAGCAAAAATAGAACCTAACTCCCCCTTCTACCTCGATGCGCAGGACAAACTTGGTGAGTATATCACCCATGTGCGTCTAAAGCTTGAAAATTTTGATGCTTGGGCTCACACGATTTATGTGGCTCTTTCATCTCGCAGAAAATTTGGTTTCCTTGATGGTACAATCAATGATGTCGTACCTCCCGCAACAAAGGACGATTGGGTCACGATTCATTGTATGCTTGTTTCGTGGCTCATGTATACGATTGATCCCGAGGTTAAATCCTTGCTTTCGAACTATGACAATGCTAAACAACTATGGGATGATTTAAATGAGAGGTTTTGTGTGGTTAATGGGCCACGAATTCAACAATTGAAGGCTGAAATTAATCGATGTGAGCAAACAAAGAACATGTCGGTGGCAATTTACTTTGGAAAATTGAAAGTTTTGTGGGACGATCTTGCAAAATATGAACCCCTCATTAGCTATAAGTGTGGGAGATGCACTTGCAGTGTTGGTCGTCAACATGAGTTGCGCCGTGAGAATGATCGATTGCAACAATTTTTGTTAGGGCTTTACTCAAAGTATTATGGTTCTTTGCGCTCCAACATCTTATCACAGGATCCCGTTCGCAGGATGAAAGGGTATGGAGTATTTCTCAGGTGCGTGAAGAGAAGCCAGAGATTGCGGGCTTTGCTGTACGTATGGAGCAGCGCCCAAAACCACGTCTGAGTCGTGCGGAGAAGGCAGCACTGACTTGTACACATTGTCACAAGTCAGGACATGACACGACTTCTTGTTTTGAACTTCATGGAGTTCCATCTTGGTACACGGAGAAATATGGTTCCTCTAATCAAGATTCTAAGGGTGTCGCAAAGGGCAGAAGTGCACCTCCTCCTGCTGGCCGGGGAAGAGGTGTTGTCACGGCAAACGCGACGCCACCCCCTGTTGGCGCAAGCACACCACAGTTGTCGGGGTTCTCTGCCGAGCAATGGCAGTCTTTGGTGGCCGCTTTTGGTACTCCTCTGCCTCCTTCTAATCGATTGAACGGTGAGTGGATTATTGATACGGGTTGCTCGCATCATGTCACGGGGTGTATAACTTACTTGACCAATGTCAAGGATGTTACCCCTCTTCCTGTTGGTCACCCTGATGGACAACAAGTCATGGCAGTAAAGGAGGGTGATATTATACTTACAAACACAATCACCCTCACTAATGTTCTCTTTGTACCAAAATTGAATGGTAATCTAATTTCGGTGTCACAATTGAGTGACAATTAAAATGTTGTGTCTTAACTAACTCATCTACATGTGCTATACATGACCTACAGACGAGGGAGGTGATTTGGCACGGGTGAAAGACGGGATGGACTTTACTACTTGTGTGCGGAGACAACAGTGCAAGGGGGTTTCGGCTCACTCAGTGGACAGCTCGTCTTCTATGGAACTTTGGCATAGTAGGTTGGGACATCCTTCCGAGAAAGTAGTGAAGTGGCTTCCTTTTTTTAGTAATACTACTTGTAGTTTGAATAAAGATTGTGAAGTATGCCATCGTGCTAAGCATGCTAGGAGTAGTTTTCCTTTAAGTGAAAATAAATCAACTCGAATTTTTGAGTAAGTTAATTGTGATTTATGGGGTCCTTATGACCAAACTTCTTCTTGTGGAGCTCGATATTTTTTTACTCTAGTGGATGATTTTTCTAGAGCCGTTTGGATTTATTTATTAATTAATAAAAAGGAAGTTTTTCGGATGTTTATGTCTTTTATTGCTATGATTGACTGACAATTCTCACAGAAAATAAAAATTGTTCGTAGTGATAATGGCACTGAATTTAATTGTATGCAAGATTATTTTTTGGCAAATGGGATATTGTTTCAAAAGTCTTGTGTTGGCACTCCTTAACAAAATGGGAGGGTAGAACAAAAACATAAACACATCCTAAATGTTGCTCGGGCTCTTAGATTTCAAGGTGGTTTGCCTATTGATTTTTGGGGAGAGTGTGTTTTAGCTGCCGCACATGTTATTAATAGAACTCCATCTAGCATTTTGAATAAGCGTACCCTTCATGAGGTGTATTTGGTCATCCACCATATTTTAAGGAATTACGTGTGTTTGGTTCTTTGTGTTTTGCTCATAATCAACGTGCCAAGGGAGATAAATTTGCTAGTCGAAGTAGGAAATGCATTTTTGTTGGATATCCTTTTGGCAAGAAGGGTTGGAGTCTTTTTGACTTAGACACTAAGGAATTTTTTGTGTTGAGGGATGTTAAATTTTTTTTAGAATACATTCCCATACTTGGATACGATGGCTACCAAATTTGTGCCTGAGAATATTCAACATGAGATGGGTATAAATACCGATTTTTCAGAGCTTATATTTGATAGCAATGAGGACTTGCAGCCTTCAACAGGGCCCGTTCCTACTGCCCAGCCGCAAGCAATGGAGCAGCAGCAGCAGGCTGTGGTACTTACTGCCCAGCCGCACATAACAGAGCAGCATCATCAAGGCAATGTGTCTGCTGTGCAGCCGGAACCACAAGAGCAGCAGCAGGGTGCTGTGCCTGCTGTGGTGCCAAATGCAGGGGGGCAGACTCTCACTCTGCAGTTCATGACACAGGGGCCGTCGATGAGAATTTAGGCCGTGGTTTCAGGCAGAAATTTCCAAACGTCAAGCACAGAGATTTCGTCACTCATACTGTGTTCACACAAAGTCCTTCCCCCGTCTCACCTAAGTCTACATCTTCACCTCCCTCAGGTATGCCGTATCCTATAGCACATTATGTTAGTTGTGACAAATTTTCTGTGAAACACCGAAATTTTATTGCAGCCGTTACAGCAGGGAAATAGCATTCCTCTTTCAAAGAAGCGATGACAGATGAAGGATGGTGTAAGGCTATGCAAGAGGAAATTCGTGCCTTAGAAGATAATGGTACATGGGTGATGGAAGACCTCCCCCCAGATAAGAAAGCTTTGGGGTGTAGGTGGGTATGTAAAATCAAGCACAAGTCCGATGGTAGCATTAAAAGACTGAAGGCTCGATTGGTTATCTTCGGCAATCATCAAGTTGAAGGAATAGATTATGATGAGACCTTTGCCCCTGTAGCAAAAATGGTGACTGTTCGTTCTTTTCTGGCGATTGCATCATCTAAGAACTGGGAGTTACATCAAATGGACGTCCACAACGCATTTTTGCATGGTGACTTGAATGAAGAGGTTTATATGAATCTCCCTCCGGGATTCAAGTCTGATTCCCCTGGTAAGGTATGTCGTCTCAAGAAATCTTTATACGGCCTAAAACAAGCGCCTCGATGTTGGTTTGCCAAATTGGTCGCTGCCTTGACGAGGTACGGATTTTTGCAGTCATACTCCGACTATTCACTCTTTACATATACTAAGGTTGCCATACAATTGAACATCTTGATTTATGTTGACGATTTGATAATTTCTGGGAATGATTCCGCTACGATTAAGGCCTTTAAAGATTATCTTGGTTCTTGTTTTCATATGAAAGACCTTGGAGCTCTGAAATATTTTCTTGGTATTGAGGTTGCCCGTAGCTCTGAGGGGTTATTTCTTTCCCAACGAAAATATGCTCTCGACATTATTAATGATACGGGTTTATTGGGTAGTAAGCCTGCTCCAACTCCGATGATTCAAAATCATCATCTTGGGCGTGCAAATGGAGCAGTCTTAGATGACCCTGAGCAGTATCGTCGATTGGTGGGACGTCTCATATACTTGGCAGTTACTCGTCCCGATTTGGCTTATGCAGTGCATATTTTATCGCAATTTATGAATGAGCCACGACAAGAGCACTGGGAAACTGCATTGCGAGTAATCAGGTACTTGAAGGGTACCCCGGGACAGGGAATATTACTTCGTTCAGATAGTGAGTTGTCATTGATTGGTTGGTATGATTCTGATTGGGCAGCTTGTCCTATGACTCGGCGCTCTCTCACAGGTTGGTTGGTATTTTTGGGGAACTCTCCTATTTCCTGGAAGACTAAGAAGCGAGGCACAGTTTCCACATCATCTTCAGAGGCTGAGTATCGCTCTATGGCTGCGATAACTTATGAGTTGAAGTGGCTCAAAACTTTATTATTGAGTATGGGTGTGCATCACCCAAAGGCTATTCCCCTCTATTGTGATAGTCAATCTGCGTTACATATTGCCAGGAACCCGATTTTCCATGAACGTACAAAGCACATTGAGATCGATTGCCACTTTGTACGGGATGCGATTCAAGAGGGTTTGATTGATCCGTCATATGTTTCGACGAAGGAACAATTGGCTGATGTTTGTACAAAGCCTTTGGGCATCCCACAATTTGAGTATTTACTTAGCAAGTTGGGCATTTGTGACTTACATGCTCCAACTTGAGGGGGGTATTAGGAGAATAAGGGAAGAATATATTTGATATATATTATGTGATAAGTTAGAATATTTCCTATCCTACTTGCGGTAGGGTTAGGACTCCTATGTATAAATATTGCTCTCTGCCTCTTAATGAACACAAGCTTCTACTGCCTATCAAGCTTTACACAATTAGTAGCATTACACTGCCTGCAGGTCCAAGTTTTGAAGAGCCTGTTGAAAAATTAAGATGGCTTGCTGGGTACTTAAGCGACTGTGAAGTGATGAAAGAACAGGCGCAGCAACTGTTGGAGAATTTCTCAGTCAGCTATCAAGTCGCTTGAAGATGCACTGGCAGTTGCAGAAGAGAAAATTTCTCAACTTGCTCAAGAGAAGACAGCTTGAAGTTGGCCAGACTTCTGCTCAAGAACAACTGGAAAAAGCAATACTGGAGGCACAGTTGTTTGCTGAAGCTGGTGCAGCTAAAGTAGCGCTGTAAAATTCTCTTGCAGTCGCAGAAACCAATATCTCCAAGCTTGAAGCTGAATCTAGTTGAGTTCTTGCAGAGGAAGAATTAGATAAAGCAAGATCTGAAATTATTGATCTAACCAGCAAATTGTCAAATGCTACCACAACTGTGAAAACTCTCAAAGATACTGTATCTCATTTAGAGAGCAGAATCTCTGTGTTAACTGATGAAAACAATGCTGCACAGGTAACTAGAACTGACTTGGAGAAAGAATTGAAGGAGTTGAAAGAAGAAGCTGAGATATGGATAGCAAGCTGCAAGAGGCACACTTGAGTGTAAAATCACTTGAAGATGCACTTTCAAATGCGGAAAATGATTATGCTGAACTGGATTGTGAAAAGAAAGCCGCTGTACAGGAAATATCAACATTCAGTGCCAAACTTAATACCTGTTTAGAGGAGTTGGCTGGAACTCATGGTAGCTGGAAAGAAGATCCTTGGAGCTCTTTGATCACCTTAAAGGACTTGAACTGCTTGGGGAAGATGAGACTTTACTACGTAATAGTTATATACTACGTACTTCGTATTATTCATTTTCTGCCTTTATTAATAATGTGTTCTGTCCTGGTAGAACAATAATGTTACAAAGAGATTTCTATTTCTTCATCAAGCAATCTAAATATCTAATGAACTTGGATTTCGAAAATTTGTCAGATCATACTCGGTATCTTTCATATAGATGAAAACCCTTAGCATTGCAGATGTCAATTATCACACCTTATGCCAAATTGTGTACCTAAAAGGCAGTAACCACTAAACTATTAAAGGCTAACACAGCCACAAATCGCCAGGTTACATGCAGAAATCATTGTTTTCGTGTATATACATTAAAGTATTCTAGGCTTCTAGCTCGATATTTGTTTGGATGATCTTGATGTTTGCTGCCATAGAAGGGCACCAACAAGATTATTCAGCGCATGAGAAGCCATTGGCACAACTAAGCTTGAAGAAACAATTGTAGCATAGCCATATGCAACCCCTACAAACGTTGCCCTGAAAACAAAAGGTGCATCTCTTGCCATCATTTGACTAAAGCAAGCTACCAAATATGATGCATTATCCATAAACATGACTGATTGATGTCTGATGATGAAAAGGGAGGAATAGAATACCATATAGCAAAGGATGATTTCCGACCACTTCCCAAGTGTAGAACGCCGAACAGAGCTGCAACTGCCAAAGCACTTTTCCAGTTTAGCCCCAGAAGCGGTAGCAGTCCACCCCGGAAAAGTAACTCCTGGACATCCCATAAGTCAGTTAGAAAACTGTTGGGCCGTTGAATGAGGGCAATTTGGTGATCAGATGCAAAATTTCATTCAGGTTATAAACTCTATGCTAACCTCACTAATCCCGGGAAGGAAGGCAACAATCAGATAATCATATGCCTCTAGGGATGTCAGGACCTGCATTAACAGAGCACGGAAATAAATAAATAAATAAATGAATAAAGACAAATGATTTGTAAGAGTGACTAAGGAAAAAATAATTCGGAAATTAGACCTTTTCGCTCCATGGAAACTGTACTTACCTGTCTATTGGCTGCTTCACTTGATTCGGAAAAATCAGGCCATATCTTCAGTAATGTATACCTTGACAAGGATATCAACACAGCCAAACCAATAACCAACTCGAGATGCCATACCTGGAAATCAACTGTAAGAGAAAAGAATATATGTTACTCTCATGCTCTCAAACTGAACAATAGCAGAAACAGTATGAGAAGACAAAGATTAATTT